ACTCACATTGGCGCAGCCGCAGGGTCGAAGCGTCGCGTCGCGTCCTGTTTTTCAACTACAAAAAGGCGAAGGCTATTTAGAATACAAGTAAACGTTTTCAAATATTAAACCTTTTGGTTAAAGTAATAAGGCTAATAATAAATTAGTCTTGCCGCAGGTAATAATTTGTTGTCTATAATTTGACTAATCATCATTAGATCCCACCTTTTTACTGATAAGCACGTGGTTCGTTTCATGTTTTTCATTTTGTTATAAGACGTCACAGTAGTGTCTTCGTGAACCCAGTCCACGTAACTTATTTAAAATGGTTCAAATGGTTAAACGTCATAAAATCTAAATCAAAATCTATAGTCAAACGCGGTGGTGGATTAGTTAATACGCTCATTAATAATTTACCATTTGAACTACACCTTCCAGGTTACAATTATCGCGGGTCTGGAACAAGATTGAGAGCGCTTTTAGAAGGGTTTGAGAGGTGACGTGGGCATTAATTCTTTGGATGAACCGTATAAATTGCATGACATTGCATACTCTCAGAATCCATCGTTAGACCGACACAAAGCCGATTTAGAGTTAGCAGAGGCGGCGGAAAAGAGCGCGCGAGATTCAAAAAGTTTATCTGAAAAAGTATGTACTAGCCTACGGCGTTAACATCGTAACGAAGTCTAAAGTAAAACGTGGGATGGTGTTACCATCGTCTAAAAAAGTTACAAGATAAAAAAGTTTACCACTCTCCAAGATCATAACAGCCGCTTGGAAAGCTGTTAAAAACACTTCTTCCAGAAAAAACTAATTCCGTTTAATTGGTGAAAACATCATTAACAGGGGAAATGGAAGGTCAGTGAAAAAACCTAGAGTTATACCTCTGCCAAAAACTGGTGGTTTCCTACCCTTACTACCGACCTTGGCTGGATTAGCAGCAGCCGGATATCTTGCGGGCGGGGTGACAAGAGCCGCGAAAAATATATATGAAATGCTTAAGTCGAAAGATTCAAAACGTTCAAACACCCCCGTGGCTCTAGGTAAGAGGTTGTATATATGGTACAAAAAAGGTATGGGTCACTACATGGCACCGTTTGAGCAAAAAACATAGAAGGATAACTTACCTTAATAGACAGAAGGGTAAGTCCCTTACCACTTGACACAGGACTTGTTCGTCCCGTTGCTTAATATCACAAAAAAATAATATAATAATAGTGAATTGAGTTTGTTTTTCATTTTAAACCCATATTATTATTTGACTTTCTCCAACTTTCATCAATAAAGAACCGACAACAAAACACAGTCAAATTCCATCATGATGTGTTATAGATATTGTTAACTTGACAACACTTCAGAAGTAACGAAACGCGGGTAATTCTTTCTTCGTAGTCGTACTTTCGGCGAAGATAGGTATCCGTGGCCTAAAGAAACTTTGTTTCGATCGGCGCGGTCGTTTCTTTCGGTGCGGACAAGTGTGAGGTCACCCTTAATACACAGAGGCTTTAAGAGGGCGCACTCAGATGTGTTTTTATTAAATGGTGGATTATTATAATTAAATAGTCATTATAATTCCACACCATTGCAGAAGTTCGTATCGAACTTCGTATTCTTAAAATTATAGGATGGGAAAAGAAATAAAACATTCAAATATGTACACGTTTTACGTCTTGTAATTACATACATTATTGTTAACACTTTGCCAAGACGGCGCCGTGGATAATTTAGTGGAACAACAAGAGTCAGTACTAAATAGACACACTAGAATCGGACAGAAGTATTGGTAACTCCCACGTTATAGAACCTGAAATAAAGAAATCTAACAAAAATAAACTTAATAAACTAACAATAAAGTTAATTTTAATCATGAAAACAAATTATATACATTGATTCAATTTCCGATAAAAAACTAGCATATAAATAGAAATCAGATAAAATTGTATAAAAATAATAAACAAGATTATAGAGCTAGAACACGTTATGTGCTGCCGTTGCTTTATAAACAGCAATTTCCTAAATATTGTCTAAGAAACTGGACATACAACCTATGAATATGCGAAAAGCCTGGCTTTACAGCACGAACGTATGGAGCAGTCAGTAAGAAACGCTCATCACAATTATCGAAGTAGATAGTAAACATCCAAACGCCATATGTTGAATCTACATTTAAATATATCAAAACTATTGTGGTTATTCACTACACAATTGTCACTAATAAGTAAAGATAGGAAATAGGCAGAGTACATGTACCAATAGATTCTCATTTATTTACAGTATTAATAGTTAGTAAGTATGTAAAATTTTATTTCGAGTTTGGCTAAATTTATATTGCGGCGGAACGGAAATGCGAAGTTTTATGCTTAATTGTGTAACGTGCAAAATTAGATACGAGCGCAGTTTTCTACGGAATTCTCGCGCATTACAGAGACTTCCGCAGCAGCCGTCGGCGTCGCCTGCCGAATCCGCGGGAAGTGGCGTGAAGTTGGGTTACCTATCAATAGTCCGAAATGACATCTTTCAGAAATAACGTTAGCTCGAATTTTCATAACCTCGAAAGTAATTTTGAGAGGAAAATGTTTTTTCTTTTAAACCTGACTTAACCTAACCGAACCTAATCGTGTCTTTGCGATAAACATCCAACATATCCTGAAAGAACAACGGTTTCACGGAACAACATCAAAACCGGCGCAATACTACAGCCCCAAGGCGCAGTCGCGGGAAAGCTCGAGTAAATGCTCGCTCGCACCAGCCGCAATGTAAATTGAGCCTTTCTCTAACGGATAAGATCCGAAATGAGGTTATTATTATATATTACCGACAGAGAATCAATGTCGTCCACATAGCTGGTAAAATAAGCAAACTGTAAGACCCGATAACCGCAGCTTGATTTTGATTGCCTCTCCCGATCAGAAACTGCGTCTTTTCCGAGTCGAGGTGCATAATTGCGATTTATAACTGGCCGACCAGAAACTTTTGATATTTCTAATCGGAACAATAGTTGATATAACTCACAACTCTTCTCCCTCAGAAACCCATCCGATTCTTAGACTACATCCGCTACTTAGGACGCCGATGGGGGAAACGGATTCTTGAATGGAAATCACGTTTCGGCAAATGTAGTGTACGACGCCGTCTGGCCAGATGGAGCTGGCAGCACATAGATGACGAAATGGTGCACATTGGGAGAGGCCTATGGCCAGTATTTTTTTTATTATATATACTCTTGTCTATTCCGATTCGATACTCCTGCCAAAAACAGGGGGTCTACTCCCGTTCTTTGTCCAACATTCGTCCGAAACAATTTACTATCAAATAAGTAATATTCACAGACATATGTCTGTGGTAATACTCGACCAAATCAAAAAACAATGTCAAGTGTGAAGCTTTTTTCGAGTATTATTTTTTGACAGTAGAGTTCCCCAGAGTTTCTTGCTCGTTCTTCTCAGAGAAGTCAGCGTAGTGAACGAGCAATAGCTTAAAGCAGTAGCTTAAATGTGACGTTTTCAAGTGTAAATTTATTTTACCTATGGAATAAATGATTTTTTGACTTCTTTGATTTATTCCGATAATTCTGCGATTACGCGCTAATTGGGTACGGGACGACTGTCAAAAAAGTAAGTAGTAGAAAAAGCTGTAAGTAGTAGATTGTTAAGTCAATATTTTTTAGAGGTTTTAAAAATGATACAAAGAAAAGTTGTTGGTTTTCATTAGCCAATCAACGGCCGAAAGCGACATCCGAGTGGCTATTGATAATTTTTTTTTAATTTATATCATAACCTTGGGTTCATGTCCTTCAGTCGAAATATTAGAGATAATAAACATATCTGTCTTTACGATTCAATGATACCATTCAAACCACTTGTATAACTGATTAGTAGCAACAATGGTCAATAGTATGTCATAACTTTGACAGGCAATTAATAGACACAGCTGTTTTAATGGCAACAGCGCCAAAAATGTGTCGGAGAAAAGATCACCAAATAATTAGCAAGAATAAATGGAAACAATAGATAGCAACATTAACATTGCAAAAGTTTGACAGAATTAGCAGAAACAATAGTTTAAATGGCAATACTGAGCCGCAGACAGTATCAATGCTACCAAGACATATTACGCCTTCCTAGATTAGTCTTCGATATCCTAACCGATAACTCGCTCTATTTACCGGACACCTGTATCGCCAGGTCTGCAAAATTATATGACCAATAACACACGACCCTAAATGGAAGATCCAATGGAAGTGTTTTCGACTAAATGCTCGTCGCGTGCTCGGACAAGGAATAATCAGTAGTCGCAATCACACGATAAAATAAGCTGTTTTCACAACACAATATTTTCACCTAAAACAATATTATGTAATTTGATTATACATAACAATAATACTAAAACGGACGCCATTTTTAAAATTTCTTGAACCAAAGAAATATAACCTATATTATGTCACAGCTTGGCTGTATGATTGGTTTCTTGACATTGCCGTTTAATTTCTTCGATTAAAGAAATTAAAAAAAAGAACAAGGCGCCATTGTGTACGTTATAGAATTTGTCAGTTAATTTGTCACTTGGTACAAGGTATCCTTTGAATTCCGTACCAGAAGTTGATATCTAGTGTCATTTTGATAATATTATTATTATAGTATGGTTTGATTTTATAAAAAAAGAATTAAAATTACACTGTCGCCATGACGACAGCGGCAGAGACGGGGCAGTCTAGCTACTATAAAAATTGTTTGCCGTACACCCTGTTACAAATTACCTTATACATTATGAGATGTCAATAAAAGGGGCAGTACAACGTACAACATACGACTCTCCAACATCTTTGAGATATTCTCTTGTAAAGCTTTCCCGCGAATCTTGTTTTTAACCGACTTGAAAAAAGGAGGTTCTCAATTCGTCAGCTTTTTGTGTATGTAACGCGATAACTCCAGCGTTTGTGAACCGATTTTGATGATTCTGTTTATGTTAGAAAGAGGGAGTGGTCCAATTTAAATTTGAAAAAAAAAATCCACCTCTAAGGGTGGCAACTAGGGGATGAATTTCGCGCACCGATTTCCGGTAACCAATTTCAATAAAATAATAATAAACTTGTAAGGTCGGTTTTTTTAGTACTCTGTACTGACATTATCTTGTAGTCCAAACAAAATATGTTGTATTCTTGTGACAGAGTAAAGATTACAATTGAATAGCTGCACCTTTTTGTGACATTGATGTTTGTAAAGTGTGCATAGTCGATATCGCGATCTAACTCGATACCAGCCAATAGAGTGACGCATTGAGTCGTAATGTACTTGAACAGGTGTGCAGTGTTGTGCTGTGAGAAGCGGCTGACTGAGCGTCTACTCAGTCTTCTTGGACCTGCCGCTGCCCTCCGCCGCCGGTTCAACGACAGGCATCTGGTCCTCGTAGCTGCAATAAAGACGTACATCCGATTTAAAAATTGTACATAGCATTTTTTACAAATATTACTGGATTTTAATGGTGTTAAATAGGCACATGATTTAAAATGGAAACTGGTAAAAACAGATCAAAATTTGTGATATAGAGGGTGACAACGAAACGAAACTAAGTGAGAATGGAAAGGCAAAGGAATTAAAGAACGATTCAAAATTTGAAAATAAATGGCCAGGAACCAGAGAAAAGGTGATAAAAAGGTGGTATGACGATTGAGATCTCAATTTTGACAACTTTACTCTCGGGCTAGGCTCTCGGATTTCTCTCGGAGAAAAGTTTAAGGAGACTGGTATCATGACTGTGGCATCACAGTACATTTACTAAAATATTTTATAAGCCCGTAAAAATATACATAATTTCAATAACAAAGAGGATATCCATAATATTAACCTTAGAGCTAAGTCCAAACTCATGGTACCACGATTTCGTTTAACCAAGGTAAACAACTCTTTTATGGGGAACTGCACAATAAGATTCCGGAGCATATATTAAGTTTATCATTTCCTAAGTTTAAAAACTACATTAAAAATATTTTGATCGAAAAATCATATTACAAAATTGAAGACTACGTGTTAGATGATGTATGGAAAGACGACATGGCTCCAGAATCCACATAAATTTGATTCAAAGTGTATTCCATAGCATTTAAGTTTATTTGAAAAGAGCAATCACTAGAGTTCCTTGCTCGTTCTTCTCATGGAGGTCAGCGTAGTGAACGAGCAGTAGCTTAAATGTGACGTTTTCAAGTGTAAATTTATTTTACCTCTGGTATAAATAATGGACAATCTTTGACTTTGACTTTACAGGTTGAAAAAAAAAGTCATTTATATAGCATCTAGTTTATTAAATAAAAATACGTAGTGTACATACGTACATGTGTAATAAAAATATTTAAAAACTACGTCATCATCATCATTCTGCCATACGACGCCCACTGCTGGGCATAGGCCTCCCCAACGATCTCCACGACGATCGGTCCTGCGCTGCCTCCATCCATCGGCTTCCCGCGACCTTTACCAGATCTATGGTCCACCTGGTGGGGGGCCTATCCACTGAGCGTCGTCCGGTGCGCGGTCGCCATTGAAGAACCTTTCCGCCCCAACGGCCATCGGTTCTACTAGCAATGTGCCCACTGCCACTTCAGCTGAGCAATTCTTCGACCTATGTCAGTTGCCTTAGTTCTCCTACGGATTTCCTAATTTCTTATTCTATCACGTAGAGAAATACCGAGGATCGCTCTCTCGATTGCCCGCTGAGTGACCTTAAGCCTTCTTATGATGACCATACTAAAAACTACTTATTTTTATTTAATAATGCTAAATAAATGATGCAAACATTTTTTTTTCTTCATCGTGGAAAGTTGTCAAAATTGAGATAGTACCGATGGCCAGTTCACAGTCGAAGTGCTTGTTGCAGATCTCTACTTTTGATTTCTAACAACTTTTTGTTTTTTTTAAATTATAACTAAGTAATAAAAAAATATATATATCATGATGGTCAAACATCATGAGTCATGATGTCATGATGTCATGATTCATGACATTCAATAAACTTAAAAATTATTAAAGCGATATCTCTAGTCAGCTACTGGTAGCTGTAAAGGTGCCTGGTGGCTGAGTGAAGAAAAAGATTTATCACAGATGGCGTTAAGGCAAAAAAATGGTTAAAAACCAAAAGCAAAAATCTGCAACAAGCACATAGAAAAAATCGTAAAGATCGCTAGTTCGTTCCGTGGCTTTTTTTGTTTGCTGGAAGACGTTGGTTTGAATCCAGCTGGATCGAAGGATATTTTTCTGTGTTTGATCTTTGTATTAACAATTATAACAAACTAGTCATTGACTTACAATTATATGTTCGTCGGGTCCGCGCTAAAAAGTGTCCGCACTTGTAAGGCGCTAAAATCGTATCCAGAGCGCGACACTCCGCTTTAGTCTTCATTTGTTCTACTGACAGCGCGATACTGCGATGACATTACAATTTAAATTTCGAATAGGTTGACTTGGGACATTTTTTTCGTGGTTTTTGTATTAGACCCGTCGTCCATTTGTTTGTAAGTCAATGAAACTAGTGGAGTAATTTTACAAAAATAATCGAATATGCGGTGGTCAAACAACGTGACTACAATAAATTTAATAATTAGGCAATTGTTTTAAAGGAAACGTATTATCGGTTTGCATTTCCGTTTTGAGCTGTATGTCACCCTGTCTCAAACTCGATTTTATCAATGAGTCATTTTATACATAACAAAAGGTAGACATACGATTCGGGTTTAAGACTGATAAAAATAACAAATGGCTAATGTAGCAAGAAAAAAGTAAGAAAAAATATAGTTTTTGATTTGTGATTCTGTTGAAGTCTGTATGATGTGTTCAACAACCGCAAATTGCGACCAGCATAAAAATAAACTGTTTTGTTAGAATAAATTTCTTATCTGTGAAAATGTTATTATTGCTTCTTAATAACATCGGATTCGATTTTATTATGACATTCAAATTTCGAACATCTCTGAAAAACAAAACAATGTGATTCGACCTCAATTCTAATATCAGTCGAGACGAAGTTTTATTCGAAATGAAATGTCAATAGCAATCAATTTTGACAAATTTCACATGTTAATTGTTCTTCCTTTAAATAATTGATATCGAACGATATGATAGTTGGGGCCGACTCTAGTTTGTCTATGAATTAAATAAAAACTACGGATGTGTGACATGCGTGAGAAAATTTTATTTGCCGCCATTTCGCCAGTCGTAACATGCGGTTCCTGAACACATCACAGAGAGCTTATAATATGTGTATAGATAAAGCAGTGCATGTAACTGTACACAATTAGGTATTAAAACACTCGTGTGATCGTATTATCAAGGATTTCATTATGTAACAGTCACATAAACTACTATTTCATCATCAACCCATTTGTACCTCCCACTGCTGAGCACGAGTCTCCTCTGAGGGTTTAGGCCATAGTCCGCCACGCTGGCCCAATGCGGGTTGGAGACTTCACACGTTTTCTGAGGGTTGTGAACCTTCTTCAAGGTGCGGTTTCATCACGGTGTTTTCCTTCACCGAAAAGCTAAATTCTGAGCCCGGATTAGAACCCATGGCTTCTGTATGAGCGGCTATAAGTCATACCATAAGGCTACCACGACGGCTCATTTTTAATAAAATTATGTATTTATTTGTTATTTTTGTAAACAGCCATATTTATTTACAAATATATCGACTGTGAACTGGCAACCGGTACTATCTCAATTTTGACAACTTTACAGGTGAAGAAAAAAATTGTTTGCGTCATTTATATAACATCTGCCCCCGTAGCATGGCTACGCATGATAGTCGCGACGCGCGCGATAAAATTGAAATGAGAGCGCCCTATTGGCTATCTAAATTAGGTCCATTGAGACAGCCAATAGCACGCGCATTTCAATTTTATCGCGGACGTCGCGACTACCATGCGTAGCCATGCTACGGGGCTGGTTTATTAAATAATAATACTTAGTGTATGTGTAATAAAAATATTTAAAAACTACGTATTTTTGTTTAATAAATCAGATGCTATATAAATGACGCAAACAATTTTTTTCTTCACCTGTAAAGTTGTCAAAATTGAGATAGTACCGATTGCCAGTTCACAGTCGACATGCTCGTCGAATTTTATGAAAAAAAAAAACAAAAAACAAAAACCGAAAATAAAATTAAAAATGCGAATATTGCGAAAAAAAAAGAAACAAAAAACAAAATAAAATCAGAACAGGTCAAAAAATTAAGCTGGCGTAGTTCATTGGAGGTATCGAAAACATGTTTTAACAATGTTTAAATAATCATCAATATTAAATTCTATACTCACTTGAAGAGAGCCTGGAGGTCTCCGCGAAGCAACGCCAGCAACAACGGCGTGGTGAGGCAGGCGGGGACCAAGTACAGCAGCGCCGGCTGCGCGTGCTTGAAGATGTGCATCACCAGGATGGTGCATAATAGTCCCAGAACGTATGCGCCAAACGTCGCACGGAAGTAGAACTCAGAGCCGCGCTTGAGGCTCTTGTCGAAGCGTAGTAGCAACGCGATAAAGATGCCCGGCACTACGATGTCGCCAAGCCCCAACATCGCGAAGTTTGACGCGCTCAGACCGTTGATCAGCAGATCTTGAGGGAACACCACTGCGAAACCACGAGATTCGCGTCAACAAATTAACAGGATAGGAAATGAAACTATTCTTCCGAATTTAAATCGCGTATATTTGTTTTTACAGACATACCGACGTTTCGGGCCCTTTACAGGTCCCATGATCACGGTTGATTAAAAACGTCGGTTTGGTTGAAAAACAAATATACGCGATAATCTATCGTCATCACTAGCTGTGACTGTAAGTGAAACGCGACTGACGCGACGAGCGTCTAATTGTAAGGCACACTTAAGGTTATTTACGAGTATACTGTTTCTGTGTACTGGGATGAGAAAGATACAATCATGGTAGTGACCCGTTTAGCGCTTTCAGATTGTTCCCTTCTATAATTTTTCTTTTTTGAAGATGGAGTAAAATAACAGTTCTTTGCACAAAAGTGTTGCCCGCTTGCAAGTAGCTAGTGATTGCAGTCGATAAATATTCTATCGACTATCGACTGAATGTTGGTCACGCTTATGTAATAAATAGCTAAAGTTGTTTCTTTTGAAGCATCATCGGCCCGTTATTCGTCCAACTGCTGGGTGCAGGTTCATTTGAATTGTCACTATTTGTAAATTCATACAAATTATATACACTGCATTTAGAACTGTGTCTATTAAAACAAAACGGAGATCTTTCAAGTGTTATAACTATTATATTATGTTATAATAAGACATCCAGTAATCATTGAACGTCGTTCACAATTCAATCATTTTTGGCAAAATTTTATCTTCTTTCACAATATGTCGATAAAATTGTCGACAACAACAACATGACTATTAAAGATTTTATAAAAATTGGCAACCCTGCAAATGTAATTTTACTCCGTAATCAAAAAAGACAGTCTATATGATATTTGAAATAAATATTGTAAATGATAAAAGTTAAGCGTGCGCTAGATCTGTACATCTAGCGAGTGCGCCTCTGTAAAAAAATCTCATAATGCGCGCGAGGGGCACGCGAACAGATCGCACTACGCAATGCACGTGTGTAGCTCGCGAGACAGGCGTAATATTTACGGGGTGACGTAGCGATGGCAGTATTTCTTTTGACATTATTGTTCTTATTGTCGGGTAAGAAAAACAAATTGTTCAAATTTACCTACAATACGCGTATCCAATTGAGTCTCACACATTTCCAAGGTCTCTCAAAAACTGTATGGCTAACTTTTGTCATAAAACTGTGTTAGTCTTTGTTTGCTTAAATGCGATTTCAATGGAAATGAATACGTAGTCTTGAATTAAAGGTGCGTATGTTATATAAACTTGAAGTAGTTATGTTCGTCACATAGTCTCGAATTAAAGGTACATACGTTACATAATCTCGAATTAAGGTACGTACGCTATATAAACTTGAAGTAGGTACGTCCGTTATATAAACTTCAATCGGGTACGTCTGTTGCATAATCTTGAAGTAAAGGTACATACGTTTTATAGGCGCTTCGAAAGACTTGGCGACGCTGACCATGACGTTGGTGCCGAACACCCAGAAGATGTCGTAGAGGAAGAGGCCACATAGCAGGATGCATCCCGTCACCACGTTGTTGAGGTGCAAAAGTTCCACGCCGTTGATTGCGAAAGCGATGCCGAAAAGATTGTTGGCGATCCAGTGCTGTACACGAACATTCAGGATTATGATCAGTTATTGCAAAAAGTTATATTAGTCTTATGTCCAGCAATCGACGTCTTTGGACTAAAATGATGATGAAGTTTCTCCACAAGTTCCATCTCGCACGTTAAAACCGATACCGTCACTGCAAAACGTCAACTTCTGGAAATAATTCTGGTGAAATTACAGGCGTATTGTCAACTTGTGTCTCCGGGTGACGGGCGTAGTGGCAGTGCCCCTCAGATCTTTACTATTTAAAGCTCTGAGTAGCACTGCAACTGTTATGGACAGGCGTGTGGCTTACTATCAGACGCACGACTTGTTCGTCCCGTCATTAGTATTATAAAAAAAGGAAATATATACAAGTTAAAGTTATGATCATATTGTCATTATGGTACCCTAGTTACCTAAAATATTCCATTTCAAATCACTCCAATTTGTACACATAAAAATAAAAGTTATTTGCCTAAATGGCAATTAAAGTATTTCAAACTTAGTTTAAATCGTTAAGGTACAGTGTTGATTTCAATGCGCGATATTCAAATAATCATTTTTTAACTGTTAGGTCAAGGTTCTGGTAATTATATTTATTGTTCGAGTGTAACAACCACTGTGTTATTGCGACTCTAAAATTCAACGGTCTCCATGAAATGAGATAAATAGCCTACACTTCATAATGGAGACGAATGTAGAACACTTTTTGTTTATTTACAATTGTATTGTAAAATCTTTATTGCATATAATAACATTTAATAACACATAATAAAACAAACAAGGCGGGCTACTTGCTAGATTGATCTGATATTTGAATAAGGCGTTTTTACCGGTTTATATGTGCCAGTAATTACGATGTAGTCCCTACACTACCTACACATGCCTGGGAATCTACTCTCGTTCTCTGTCCGCCATCTGACGGAAACAATTACTATCAAATAAGTAATACCCGACCACATCAAAAGACAATGTCATGTATGAACGCTTCATTAAATAGGTAGACAGATAGATAAAATCTTTATTCACTTCCATGACAACTTATTTACATAGGATCCACTAAATTTAACATCATAATTATTATTATATTGAACCACTTAAAATAACAAATTTTTATAACAAAAAACCGACCTCAAAAGTACGTGGAATTACGTCTATTTGGGATGTAGTGATACCTACCTTTTAATTAGATTAAGAGATTTCTATATATGGTACTCAACATTAAATCATACATTGTAACCTTTGTTTCCAATCAATATAGATCGACGTGTTGAGACGGAAACATGTGTCTCATTTAAGTGCTCTCCAAAAACCAACCTCACCTCTACAAGAAGAAGCCATCTTTTTATCACATATTTGCCAAGTTTTATTGAAATATCCCCTAGTTCGCCATTATACAGGACTTGACACAGGAGATAATAAAAATCGGTCAAAGTATATTGAGAGAGAAAAACGCCTTGAGTTGGAGAATAGCAAAATCAACCATTAAAATGATTGCTCCTTAAGTAAAATTTAGGCGCTATTTATAAAAATGAATCTTCATGCGTGAACAGCAACTCTAAGAGGTGGATGATTTTCTTCAAAATGAAATGGGACAACTATGGAGGTACCCTCTTTCCAACAAAAAAAAAATCATGAAAATCGGTTCACAAATACCGGAGTTATCGCGTAACACACATACAAAAAAAACAGTCGAATTGAGAACCTTATCCTTTTTTTAAAGTCGGTTAAAAAGGAAAATATAACTACACATATAACTAATTAAAGTAAATAGTTTTGGAAGTCATGGCAGTGAAAAGGCGCTGGCTCAGCATAAATATCGCGGTTTTCCACGACGCTGAAATTCTGCCAGAACCGTGTTTAAAGAGACGCCATTTATCACCTCAGATAGTCATAAATAAAAATTATATACACAAACAGTGAATAGCGACATCTCTTGCCAGAGCTGGTAACTGTAAAGATATCTAACTGGGTGATAAAACTTTCATAGATTTCTCATAGATGGCGCTATGACTAAAAAGTCGTTGAAAAAACCATATACAAAGATACGACACAAGCACATAGAAAAATTCGTGAGGTCCGCTGTTTCGTTCCGTGGCTTAGTTGGTATAGCGTCTGCCACGGTAAGCTAGAAGACGTCGGTCGAATACGGCCGCATCGAAGGAATTGTATGAGAAAAACAATATGATAAAATGTGTGTGCGTGCGTGCATGGGTATGCGCGTACGTGCGTTTATGTCAATATTTTATTTATTTATTTATTTATTTTATCTTAGGAAGACCAACAGCTTTAAAGTAAATTAGTCGTTAACAGTAAAAACTGAAGGCCAATTATAGGTCCTCACAAACAACAACACAATAAAATGAACCTTAACAGATACACGGTGCACAATTAAATCTATGACATACAAAGAAAAGGGAAAAAAAAACGAAGAAATTACTCACTATGACTCAAAAAAAATGTTACAAGATAGTTATAACCAGAATTCAAAATGTATGCATTTATGTTGAGACTATGTAAAACAATTTGCGTTTGTATGGGTGTATGCGTGTATATTACTTATGAAATTCCCTGAAATTATATGTTGCCGCATACGCAGCATGCGTCTCTTATCTTAGTCGAGTATTAGTTATTTGATAATAATTGTTTTGGACGGATATGCGGATGTCTGACGAAGAACGGGAGTAGACACCCTGATGCATACGTGAAGAGGTTTTGAAGCAAAGTCAGGCAAATGCATCGCTAAACAAAGTCACGTACGTGTTACATACGGCGACGGAGTAATATCTATTTATTATCTCTGATGTTAGTGGAGATTGCGATAAAAAAAATTTAAGCATACCCTATTACATAGGTAAAGGAACTGCTTACTACGGTGCCCACTTAATCTGTGAAGCTATTCATAATTTTCTCCGGTCACGACGAATCACGTTTGAGTTTGACGCCTTTATGACATAGCTAGGACTAAATTAATCAATGGGAGTCTACAAAATTAAGTTACGTGGACTAAATAATGTACATGAACACAAAAAAAACGGTACAGAGGGATTACGTGTAAAATACTAATTAGTGATTTCAATATAGATTTTGTTTTATCGTGATTTTCCGTATCTGTGACGACACTTAAAAAACCAGCATATCGGTTTTATCGGTGGTTTTGTATTTTCCCGTTCTCAGCTTTATTTGAAAAAATATTACAAGTGTAAACATAAGGTCCCTTTTACGAGAGTGGTAATTTAGAGCTGTGTCGATCGAATCAAGATGATTCAAACAGCACCTGTACCCGATGACCCGGGTCATCAAAGCGTTTCGATTCTTTTCATCTTTTTTGTTTGGCCCAGTGCGGGTCATGCTCGCAAATTTGGAAAACATAGTTTTTTACACTAGGGAAACCCTGTATCGCGGGTGCCATGGACACACATAGACTACCACAAATTACACCCAAAGTCACGAGAGAAATAAATGTAGGCCTTACAAATATTTCTTCCGGCACGGGAATCGACCGCGGGACCTCTGCGTGGTAGTCATGTGCATGGTAACCGTTCGGCCACAGAGGCAGTTAAGCTTATAGTTTCAGAGGTTCTTCAACAATTCACCGCAGCACTCAGTCTGCAAAGGACAATATTATTGTTGTCTCGTTCGTTCTCACGCTAAGTCCCCACCATAGATATAGAAAAAAAGGGGAGATTTGGTATGGGGGCGTGGTTCGTGTCGCCTGGGTATGATCAAAATGATCATATCGAGGTGACAGCCTACAAACATCGCCACAGTGAGATGACGATCGTTGTACACACAAGATCTCTCGTAAAACGTGAAAATGCCAAGTATATAATATAAGTGTACCGAAATGCCTTGTAAAAATTGGAGTGAAAACAAAAATTTTAAAACCATTGAGATAACATTCCACGGGCTATTTGCATTTTTAGTTACCGACCGCCAAAGCGCGCGGGCGACGATGGCCGCCAAGCGCGCAGGTGATCGCGTCTTGCGCGGTTCTACTAGTACCCCGCCGCGGCAACCGCGAGCTACCGTCACCACTATACAGTCGTAAAACGCGTCGTGAAATGTGCTACTAATTTTACATACTCAATTTACTATTACATTCTACAGATGCCGCGGTCAATCATCATAGTTGCTCCGTAGTATAATGTCCATTATATGTAATTTTGTAAGTCCGACCGGACCAGTATAAATAGACAATTTATGGATGTATTGAGAATGACGTGTGACCCGTTAAAAGATCGACAATATGATCAAATCTTTTGACCTGATCGCATTACGCATGGGTCGTGATCGTCTCGGGTCATCAGAATTGCTCGATCGACACAGGTTTTGTGGTATCACAAGATTTTCTTCAAATTTATTTCATGACCTTGGATTCAAGTCATTCGGTGGAAAAAGTAATAAACAGTAGTTAATAATACATTGTTGCTAGTCATATTAACAGCTAATTTGAAGTGTTAAATAGACTTCACACCTAGAGTCAGATCTTTCATTTTCAAACTGACAGATTC